TTTCAATTTGATGTTCCTTCCCCTCTGTGAAGCCCGAAGTCAACTAAAGGGCTAATGATAACCATCAAGACACCTGCCATTTGATATAAATAAATATTATAACTACAGTGTTTTTTTTAAAAAATATTATGAATGAAATGTTTTCACTGAAAAAAGTTCATTTTCTTTTTGAAAGTGGTAAGGAGTTAATAATGGAGATGACAGGCGAAAATACATATATTAATCATGAATTGAGAGTTTTTCGCTCTTTCTCAACATCAAATGTACAGAAATCAATTTCATTTGAGAATGATAATGACTAATTTTGGGAAAATAATTAAGACATACGATGGCAATAGTAGAATGATTTTCAAATAAAAAGTGAATCCACCTTGGCAGAAACTGATGCGCAATTCAAAAGTCAAAAGATCATGGATGACATCAGGGAAACCCATGTTATGAATATTCCGCTAGAGATAAATTAACAATCAGATGATGGTCATCTGATGTATACAGTAGTTGAACAATAGGGGATTACAAGTCAACATATCCTTCAAGTGTTCATTATTCTATGGAGAGTAGCTTGTATATGCTTATTAGGGAAAAGCTCAATAAGTTGGAAAAAAAGCTTGCATTTACAAACCACCAGAATGCAATGGAAAAATCTGCTAAGTAATGAGATAGAGATAACATGAAGTGAATACTTGGAAGCTCAATATGCGTAAATGGAAAAACGTTAAGCTCTGTTAAGATGGACTCATTTGCTAGTTACAAAGCCGTAAATAAACTGAACTGAAATAAACAAGGAGGCGATCTTCAAGATAGACAGCTCTCTCCAGGGGACTAAGACAAATTACCTAACAAATAATCAAGTAAATAAAACACAGTCAACCTATTTAAACTTATTGCAACTTCTCTAGATGTGCATAGAAAAAAATGATAGTAGTAACTCGCCTGTCCATTCAAGTAGAGTATGTCAAACACAATATAACATGGAAGAATATTCTTGTTTTTGGCCACTTCATCTTCAAACCTCGCACGCTTGACATCATACCCAGTCGCTTTGGTGACGAATCTATTCTTCCTATTATCAAACGCCAGCATCTCCCCATCCAAGATACAATCGCTGGCGTGACTAGCAAACGTCAAACCGTTGTCATGTAAACGGTGTGTCAAGGTGCCATGGTTTGAATCCCCACTGCCCCCATAACTAGCTGTCCATTCACGACCGCTACGAGACCAAAATCGATAATTATTTCCAGATTTGTGCAACTAAAGACAAAGATTAGAAATTTGAAAAGAAAACACACACCTGAACCCTCTCCCCATCATACTTCACCTCCAAACAAAGACCTGCATCAACAGATCCAGCAAATAGTTGCTGATACTCTAAGCATATCTTTTCGGCACTGCTGGCTCTAGCACATAGCATCGGCTTAAATGGCGTGAAGAGTTCAACTCTAAGTAGTTTATGAGAAGCCTCTTCGGATAGAACAGTTTTCGGATCGATATCAGCTATTCGCTGACAGACAGTTGACAAACTCTGGGTCACCTCCCAGATTGAAACCGCAGCTGGATGGAGGCAGTTGAGAATGACTTTATCGCCAACTCCAAGAGATAAATCCCGTCGACTGACAATACGAACAAACCATTTTAACTCAAGAATTGTAGCAGTACGAATGAAACGTGTGATGATTGCAAGTTTTCCATCATGAGTTAAATCCCTCGCCAAATCATCTAAAATTTCATGAATTTGCTACAAGACATTGGAAATTATCAATAATAATTTTAATATACAGTTATTGTATAAGTCCCGTTATTTTGACAGTGATCCTTTAAAACTCGTTGTACGATATCGGCTAAATCTCTGTGAAAGATCCCTTGAGACGAGGATGATCCTTGATGCTTCAGTAAATTTAATGCATCTGGGCCCTTTGGAGCTAATCCAAAGGCCTTGATCAAAATTCTAGCCATACTTGGTTCACCAATGCCAAATGCTCCCCTTGCACGATCAGAAGATGGTAAAAGTAGACGTAGGACGGGATAAAAACTGCCTAATCCAGCTGATATTGAACCGGGGGATGAGGATATCTGAGCATATTTATCCGCCCATTTGTGGATGAATGATGAAATAATCTGCTTTTTCTTCTTAACTCCACTCAAACGGGAGACTTGCTCAAAAAATTTGCAGAGCGTTTCAAATGGAAAAATGTCCTCAATATTGCCCCCCTGAGTTGGTGGCGATAAGTCCATTATAAATAAACGCCGAAAATATGTAATTAAGTATTGTGTGAACTAATGTGAGGCTGGCTGACCGTATTATGTCGCAATGTAAAACATGACTGGTTCATGTGTAACCAATTAGGTATTTGTGTCAAGTTCATTTTCAATTGACCTTAAAACACGATTTGGAATTTATGCAGAATATATGTTTTTAACACAACAGTTATTTTTCCCGAATTTGTTTTATTTAAAAAGTACTTTATTAGTGCCAAAGTATAATATATTTGGTCTCTTTGTAATCTCACAATATATTAATTTGAAATTCATTTCTGCAAGGATAATGCTTTCCGCACTTCTCTTCCCAATTGGTTCGGTATATAAAAACATATTTTCAAATAAAAATTAGAGAATGAATATTAATGAAATAGGTCTATCTAGGTTTCTTCCATATTCTATAGAATGTACCCAAATGTACTATTGGGTGAAATGGAGATTCTTAAGTCTGTTTAAAAGTAATCAATTAACCCACACTCGAGCTAGTGTCAGATAGCCGGGATTCCGTAGCATGAATTTATTTTAGATTTTATTTAGAGGTAGAAAATACGGATTAAAACCGTACAGATCATTCAATAATTCACGACTTGTGCTGAAAGTGTTCACCATGAAATTCGTGACACAAACCAGAGCGTCTCTTCTGGTTTGATCATACCGGATTTTGTCACGTCCTAAAGGTAATCTCATCATCGAGACTAAGTGTAAACATTAGTAAACGAATTGTTTTTAAATACACCTTAAAAATGGAGATACAGTCTTTTGTTTCTTTGTACTTTCAATTAGCTGTATATCTCCAACCTTAGAAGCATTTCTGATTATTCTTCGGATTCACTGGCTGTTGTTAAAAGTTAATAATGCTGATACACATTTGAAGTGCCTAATGTCAAGAAAGCAGCAATGTTTTAAAACACAAAAATAATGATTGTGAAGATACGATGCATTTAGCACGTTATTCGCTTCAACAAATAAAGCTCGAAATATTGACTAAAGATTTCCGAAACAGATCAAACACGACTTGACCAAATGGAGGCCCTTTCCAAAACTCGAAAAGAATTTCTTCTTCCTCAAAGAATAGGACAAGGCAATAAAACGCAAAGTTTATGAAACTATGGGACTAAACTAGCCCAATGAGTACAAATTCATGATCTGGCCATTTAAACACTCCATAAAAGTCAATCGATTTATTGATGTTATTGAAATAATCTTAGTGTGCACTGGAGACGAGAATTTTGCAGAAAACAGACAATTATGTCCATATAAATTTGCCAGACATGAAAATTATGGGATTTGAAATATCGCTTTTACAATGAATCACTGCTGGTGGAAATGCAAGATCTTGGCAAGACATTTTGGCAAGATTGTACAAAAAAAATCCCAGTCTATTTGGCAGTGTAATTTTGTATTTTAATAATTATCGATCTTTTGTATTTTGGCAGTCCACTATGTCCAAATTATGCAAAGTGCACATTTAGACTTAATGTTTGGAAAAATCAAACCACTTTTCATATCACTGTGGTGGTTATTGGCTATTTATTACCCATTACCTTATTATCGAAATTGTTTGACATGATTTGTTATAACCTTATTTTAATGGGAAAAATTATGCTAGCCTTTAACCCAATATATATATATATATATATATATAGTATTTCTTGGGATAAAGAAGTAACTAATTAGTCTCATTACAACTAATTGGGTTAGTTTAAAGTCCTTATAGTTTCGTGGACTGAACCCCTAGAAATAACCGCAATTGTGCATATAATGTGGGGTACGCGATAGATTTATCTCCATGTAGTGCACCCTGGTCGACGTATACTCATACAAAGTGACAGTCGACTTCTAACTCCAAACTGCTATGATCCCACTGTATGTCCTATTCCATCACTTTCACAGTACTTACCTTACCTTACCTATTTCGCTACCTTTGTATCTCTCTGTCACTTTTACAGCTGTGATTCACTCTTCTGTTCCCCCTCTTCACATTTTGAACTCTGATTTTCCTACCCTCTAGCAGGCCCAAAGTCAACTGAAGAGCTAATGTTAACTATCGTAAAGCCGCCCACTTGATATAAATAAATACACATAATGCTATAGTCTGGAATCGTTTATTAATGCGCACTTTTAAAACAGAAAAAATATCTTGGAGTATTATTGAGTCCGTATTGTACATTAATAAATATGATCGGCATTAGAGCAAACAAAACCGCTGTTGCTGGTGATGGTTTACTTTAGCAATGATAAACATACCACGGGCTGTCACTATCATTTAACCTATCAATGAATAACGCTCTGCCTTGGAATTCATCAATCAAATTGATTATTAAAAATAACCTCCATTCGCTCAACTCAATAGCACAATTTTTTATGGGAAAATTGAAGTTGTTAACTTTTCCTTGCTGAAATACAAATTGTTTCACTTCACCCTTGACAATGTATTCACATTATATCCTCAAACTCTCGTTTTGCATCTGGCTACATTCTCTTAGCATTTCAATCTACTTCGCAAAATATTTATCTGGTCGAATTGGGGTGTGCGATAGACTTACCTCCACGTGGTGCACCCTGGGCAACGTATATTCATACGGCAAAAAGTCTATCAATGGGCAGTTGACTTCTGACTTCAAACTGCCATGATCTCACTGTATGTCATATTCGACTATTTCACAGTACTCACCTCACCTTTTTTCTACCTTCGTCTTTGAAGCACTCTTCTGTTCCCCCCCCCCTCTCGACTTTTTTTCCACTTTGATGTTTATTCTCCTCTGTGAATCCTGGAGTCAACTAAAGGGCTAATGATAAATATCAGAACGCCTGCCATTTGATATAAATAAATATCTGGTCAGATTGATCGAAGAGCATGAACCGATGGAATTCATAGTAATGCAAGCTCTGGATTGAAAGATCCCAACGAATCTCTTGCATTACGTGATACGATAACT